GTTGTCGATCAGTTAGGTCTCCTCGTTTTAAAATCGATAGCTTAAGCGATTCGTAAGGTTCGGAAACATCACTAGTAAACATACTAGGTGTTATGTACCTGTTAAACTCGCGCGGTAACGCCTTAACTACCGCGAGGAAACGTGTGCGCGAGTCCGTGATTCCGTGCATGCAAAAATCGGCTTCTGCATAGCAGAACCAGGACTCGATATTGTCGGGCCAAAATGGCGTTAACTGAATCGAAATAGGGGGAATAGACTTGAACTTAAGAACCTTAGGAGAGTGTTCCGTCATAGTAATATAGATATCGAAAAATGTCTAAGTAAAATATATCCGAGAAAAAAAAAGGTATATCACAATATATAAAATTCAAATAAAGAATAACAATAAATAATAATATTCCAAAATGGAACAGACTCACAGTATTTTGACTTGGTGTACCAGATCACGTCGGGTTCACCAATGAAGATGCAACGGATATTCTAGTTTTACAACTAGATACCAGTAGCACCTTCTAAATTCGGTTGTTTCCAGTCAGATAGAAAATCAGAAGTCAAACGAGAAGAGGCAGGAAAGATATATTTGATTCGTTACCAATATATCGAGGACCTTTTCTATGAGCTGGCTAATGAAACGTAGGAGCTGTGTCCCACGCAGTATTGAAACGTGATCTGGTGCGGATGCATGACCGAAAGCCTTCAGCTAAACAAGTCCACTTAAACAACGTGGTCAGCATCCAATGTCGAACACTTAATGAGCTATTGATTTTGGGGAATTATTTACAGCTACAGTGTCTTGTATGTGGTGAGTCGCACACCACAGAGATCGGTCGAATGCATAGCTCGTGACTCATGCTGACACGAATTATGCACTAGATATGAAGTCGATGGGGCGAGACTATCATTTATGGACAAATCAATCAGATTTAAGATTTCAGCTATTGCATTTCAGCACGAAATTCATTCATCCACGTGTCTAAACTGCATTATACCATTATGGCTGATGTCAGTTCGTGGTGAAAATTGTGACTGTAATTCCAAACCCTACTGCGCAACTGTACATCCTAATCCTAATTCTTCACATTAATCTACAAACTCCATTTAACACTAGTAAGTAGACGGACATTCTCAAGGTGACTTGAGCATCGTTTAAGAGTTGTCCATAGATTACAGTCTTACTGTGGATCAGTGGTGACGTGTCTCCTGATGACAAATCATGGTGAAGACCGACCGGTGGAGAGGTGTCAGTTGCTGTGTGTATGTGTATGATACTATGCATGAGTGTGTGCTGTTTTCGGTAGCTGGTGCTGGGCTGAGACGACGATTGTTGTCGGGTGTGGACGGACGACACCAGCGACACGTCATTACACACAATTATATTAAGTATTGAATTCACAATTAATAAATTTTTTTAATCGTTGAATAGTGGTTTTCAAGGACGAACTCTTTGTCCTACAGTATCTATTATATACATCAACTGAAACCGACGTTATGAGTACAGAAGAAACCTGTCTTAGCCATGAATATGCCTAATTAATCACTCACTCATTTCATGGCTTAGAATAAAGTGACATTTGCTTAATCTTCAAACACCATGCTAGTTTTCCGCCTCGTTTTTATACAATTATCACGTCGATTACTTGAACTTTTATTTCATTGACTTTATTTAATTTTCGGTTACTTTATTTGCACACTTTAAAAATTCCACATTCAGTCTGAAATACTTTGTAATGCTTTCTATCTTTCAACAGTTTTCCAGGTGATTTTATCATGTAACTAAAATTACTTTTAGACTTAACTTCTCACTTTAACCTTTAATCTGTTCAAACCACTTTATTAGGTATTAGTTCGAAACTTCTTTATTTTAATCCACAAGTTATGATCTAAATTAATTTGTAATCAATTCCAGATATTCACTTGGTGTTGCATACTTGTATCTTCCCATTTTTATTTAGTACTGCGATTAATCAGTCTCTTGTTGGTATATGTTCATTCTGTGTGGACTGCCTTGATTTTGCCTGAAGTCACAAGTTTTATAAGCAATGATGGATAGTAGCTAGCAGTGTAATATAGGAAAGCGTTTCGTCTTATTTGAGATTCTTCAACCGAATGTACCTGCATTTGAGTTGATGTTCACTCTGGGACTCGAGCCCAGTAACTTTCGCTTCAAATGCCATCGCGTTATCCACTCAGCTACTGAGTCCTGATAGCCACTTGCTTGTGTAATGGGGTGAAGAATAAATTCACTTAGAGTTGTTTGTTTGAATCTTCCCATCGATGTTTAGGACTGCAACTGGTTATTCTCTAATTGGTATATGTGCATACTGTGTGTATTGACTCGACATCCAGTCGATAAGTCCCGAATAGGACGAAACGCGCCTCCTGGATTCCACTTCTAGCCACTATTCATCCTTGCTTATAAATTCCATATAGTTGATTTTACGTGTTTCAGTATCAAATTTTGAATTTCGTAGTTGAATATATTTTTTTATTTAAATAACTATAAACTGTATAAGCCTGTGGATTCAAAGAACCTTTTTCAAGAAAAAAATAACTCGTCTAATACTTGGTGATGATCATACTAAAGTATAGATTATAGTGTCTAGGTAACTGACTGAATTAACCATCATTCATCAAGGTTTTTACTATATATACATAAATACAGTAGATTAACAACGAACAAATTTGTATTACCACAATCTTCTGCTTCAATGATGTATATATATGTATATTTGGAAATGAGATTTATAATGAACCATACTTAACATATTCTATATTAGCTTAACCTTAATAATAAAATATCCTTACCAATAATGATTGCTTACAAAAATCTGTCTGTAGTCATTATCCTTTGACGATTAAATAATCTTATATTAATTGAAATCATAAGTCAACTGAAGGTAGACTACTATAGAAAACCTGGAATAATCCTTTCTTCATATATAAATATGATCAAATTATATTAAATAGAAATTGTTTACATTTCAGTAGTATATCATGTAAACTCATTACATTCATAGTTAACTATTAAAAATCTAACACAATTCTATTTGATGATTATCTAATCTCTATTAACTTTTATTAGAAAAAAAGAAAAAAAAATTTTTTTTAATTTTTTTTTATGTTTTTTTTTATAAAAAGGCTATTTATTTTGTCATTAAATATCAAATAGGAATTTACCTTGATCCTCGGGATAATTTAAGAATGTTTTCTTTCTTCTTTTTTTTTTCTTCTCTTTATTACTTTATACCTGAAATAGAAAATTTAAACAGCTAGTTTTATTCATTGGGTTGTTTATATATTCTTGTTATGGATTATTAAGATCTAATGTGTTTCGATGTGAAAATATATGGAAATACAAACTTTACAAAGTTATACTGTAGTATGGTCTACTTATATTCATATAAGTAGTATATGGTGAAGGTTAGTCTTAGAATGTATTTTGGCAGAAGACTGATAAGGAAAGAACTAAAAATGAACCGCAATTGGGTAGGAAAATGTATGAACAATGAAATTAGAGAAGATGGATTGATATTTACAGAAGAAATAGTGAAGATTGAGACAACTGATGGTTATTTTGCAAATTAAATGTTTGTTGTATGGTTATCAGAATTTAGTGAGAAAGTCTTCGATTATCCCCACCCGTGTCCTGTTCATTACAATACTACTATTTATTTTAAAGGGAATCATAATCGAAGTTTGAATAATTTAAGCCAAGTAATAGACTCATTATAAAGAAACAAAGTAGGAATGATTTATTTAAAGATCAATAATTCTGAATTGAAATATTTCGATGGTTTTTCTTAGTTTCATATTAATATATGATGAAAATCATCTTGAATTAATCTGTTTTATAAGAAGGGGGTGTTTTGTAGAGATTTTAGTAATTTTATATAGTTGAAATTATGAGTCAGTTGAAGCTAGACCACCATGGAAAACCTGCAAGCACTGGATGGCTGTTTCGTCTTATTGTGGGACTTTTCAACAGTGTGCGAGACGGGATCGAACAGTAATTGTATGCTTGATAGGAATTGATTTTAAGACGAATTTTTGAAGATTTTGGTAGAAAGTTGTGATTAGTGTTATTCAATCATGCCCGAAGTGAAATAAATACCTACCAATAAGATTGGGTAATGTTTTGCTTTATGAAATGTAGGCCACTGAAGTAAAACTCATACATCTGTAGGTTAAGCACTGGTTTCTAGATCTCAATACTATTGGTCAAACCCTAGCAATGGTGAAGGATGTACTCCACTGCGGTCTCCCATACTAAGATGAAATAACAGTATAGTGACTCCTGGTTTTCACTGGTCCCTTGCTTTTATGTTAATCGGTAACGAAAAGCAATCAAAGCTTAAATTTGCACAATCTCTTCAAATGAAGATTCGAATACTATCTGGGAGGATTTGAGACCTTGCTTTAAGACTAATCAGCTAGATTTCTATGCCTTTTACTAAAGTCTATGTTTCTACAAAGACTTAAATCAAGTAACTGTAGATGTGCTAAATTCGAAGACAAGTTCCCTAACAGGGTGACGCCAATTAGAGAAATAATAGAAATTAGAAAGTGCTACTTAATAGTACGTTATATTTCAGCTGAAACTTAAATTAACTGAGGACATTGCACTTAGTGTTGTGCAACAATAAGCTATGATAGCTAGATGGTTATCAGTTGTTAGTGTTAAAATATTTATATCATGGAGTCAATAGATCAAAAGGATTATATAATTCTACTCGGAGTCGAAATATAAACTCTTTGACTCTGAATACAAAGCATGATAATGAAAAACAGAACTTTCTTATTACGTACGCTATTACTGAATCAATTCACTAGGAAGAGAAGCTGTTTGGGAATGAATTAATAATTGAGAAGTAACTGCATTACGATTTTAATGATGTAATCAAGAAACCATTTACATTAACGATATATATGTCATATTAATGAATGGGATATCATAACTTGACGAATGCTTTTCCAATTAGTTATTTTGTTTTCTCTCCTAGCTCAACCTAGTGTCTGCCATTCAAGAAACATGAGATTGGGAATCGTGAACGGGGATTTTACTGGATTGCTATGTAAGTTTCTCATCTGATTTTTTCTGTGAATTTAGATCAAGTGTAAGTTTTTATCACAAGATTTGAAAAAAAGTAGCACGTTTAATCTGTTTTTTCTCAGATTCTATAACTAAAATAATCCTCTACTTCTTTTAGACCTTTTGTTAGAGACAATCGAAAAGAAGCCATGGATCTGAATTCCGTGCTTCTTGTCACTTGTTAGCAAGATATATCTGCAACTTTGAGGGGATTGATTTATTCAACCTTACAGTTAGAAGCTGTTCGGACTATAACTGACCCCATGTAAAAGTGAAATATGAACACTGACTGATCACTGAGAATCTGTAACTGAAGAAGTTCAAACACATCTGTAGTTCCTCACTTAGAAATTTCATGCTGTGTAGTGAGTTTGAACCACTAGTCTAAAAGTTACACTCACATTATAGAACTTGAAAGTTCCTGACTAGATACCAAATCTGATTTTTGTCTATAAAGAATTAGCTGTTTAGTGCTCTTTGCTTCTCACCAGTTCACCAACTAACATTAGTCCGTATTGGAAATCATCTGTAAACTAAACTAATTCCCATAAACCTCTCAATCTGAAAAAAGACTGTTTAAGTAGATAACAATGCATTCATTTCAGAAATTATCTAACAATTAAAGAAACCACAACTGACTACTTTGAATACATGGAGTGTGGTGTGGGTTACTGATATCCACATAAGTAGTATATGTGATGGTCGGGCATTGAATGTATTTCAGTAAAAGATCGATGAGGAGAGAATGGGAACGGTACACAATTGGTACGAAAATGCATGAACAATGATAATCGAAGACTATGGACGGATATTTGCAGAAGAAACAGTCAAACTGACACAATTGATTGCTATTTTGCAACTTAACTGTTCACTATATGGTTCTCATATTTTAATGAGACATGCTATAATGTTGTGCCTAAATACATTCGACTGTCCCCACCCGTGTTCTTGTTGAATACAAGGGGATATTACTAAACTAAGTAAAACATATCTATCATTTAAACTCATTTTATGATATAGTAATAATGATTATTGATTGATTGAAGATGACAAATTGGAGAAAATGTTTTCCCATCTACATATCTGTTATAACGTGTGATTGAGTGCGTGTGTGCCCAATTTAATATATGAACGCCCAATTGGAGAGCAGTGAATTTATTGATTGGAGCAATGATATACAAAAGCCGTATTAGCAGTCTTGAGTACTTATCAGTCCTGCTTTCTGCCTAGCCCAGCCTGTTAAGTCCAGAACACTAATAACAGCTTCGGCAATATCAATCATTATTCACAAACATACTGGGTTTATATACCAATCAAACAGACCACATTGTACTATAAAATCGAAAATAATATTTGCACAAGATTTGACCAAATGTGGCTGTGAGTAGGGGGAACAGTAATCAATAGACTGGGGATAACTCAGGAATGGTAAATCGTATAATAATAGTCTATGGGTCAAAATAAAGCTTATAATAAGAGGGACACGAATATAAGTAGTTTAGTTACTTAACAATTATACAATAGGAAATATACATATCACATTGGTCCATAAATAGTCCTCAAAAGTTACCATTCACAATTCTCTTCGGGATACAACAATATCGTGCTCGTAATCCGAACAAACAATAACATTCTTTTAACCTCTATTACTTTTTTTTTACCAGTAAGTGTTATATTGATCATTTTCTTTCTTTCTTTCTTCAAAAAAACAACAACAACAGCAGATCCATATGTTAATCGATTTCAAGCATTTTGGTTCACAAATAATTCTGGTCTTATCCCATCACTCAAACGAAATTCATCATTTTTATCAAATTCAGATCTAAATAATTATGATCAAAGTATACAAAAGAATATTATACCAAATAACAAGCATAGTTTATGCTCAACTACTTCAACCACATCATCATCATCATCAGTATCTTTGTCTATTGTAAATGGTTACTTTATTATTCCAATCATAATATTTTACATTTGTTTAAAATAAATGGAATTGTACATTTATTCTATTCTTTTAATTTGATGATAACTGTTAGGAAGGTTTGTCTGTATAGGGTATATTTAAGTATTCTAGCATAAAAAAGGGGTATGATTCATGAAACTTTGAAATCACAAGACGAGTAATGTCTGTAATTGAAAATAGACTGAAAAAGCCATCTATGAGTCATTTGAACAGACCAATGAAAAGTAAAGGGAAGAAAGTATAAACTTGAATGCGGATGCCATTATAACACTTATCATTAACAGAGAATAATAAACTGTTGCGTCAAACAGGTAATAGAAATTAACGAAAGTGAATGAAGTGCTGTGTTATAATTAGGTAAACTATTCAATATAAACAGTCTAATGAAGTGATACTAAACAGCATAAAAATATTTTTAAAAATATCACTACAGTTAGGAAAACGAACTAAAATATATAATCAGCATAACAAGCTCAGATGGATAGTGACTAGCAGTGGAATCCAGGACGCGCGTTTCGTCCTATTTGGGACTCGTCAGCTGGATGTACCTGCAACTCAGAGTTGATGTTCACTCTGAGACTCGAACCCAGTACTTTTCGCTTCTGTGAATTTAGGCTATATCGAAGCAATACACACAGTATGCTTATATATCAATTGGAGACTGACCAGTCACAGTCCTAAAACATCAATGGGAAGATTCAAACAAACAATACTAAGTGAATTTAAGCATAACAAGCTCACTGTGATCAAAGGGTATCCGATAAATGTTTGCACATAACATACACTACTGAATAATAATAAGTAAGATAATGTATCACACGAAAACATAAGACATGGTCAAATATTGATTTAACAGCTTTGAGAATTATTTTTTTTCAATTCTCTCTTAACTTTGTCTCACTGATCATTGGATCAATATGATTTAGCACATCTACAGAAGAATAATCAAAAGATGATGATACCCTAAGATCATTTGACTAACATAATCGGACTTCACAATAAATATATTTTTTGTAATATCCCAATGACTAGAATGATTGTCTTTATGATGTTTCGTAACTTAATGTAAGTCACTTCTTCAGAGTAAATACATTTGTTTAGAATGATCGGACTTCATTCATAAGTATGTTATTTTTTCCATAATAATAAATTTACGCTTAATGTATAAAGAAGAAAGAAAAATGGTTTCTTAAAATTCTTTGAAGGCTTAACATTTACGCATTCATGAGTATTACTTAATGCCACCTAATGTAAGGCATAAACAATGAAAGTGACCTAATTAGTCAGTGCTATACATAGTTTTAATTAAGCACATAACCGAATTTAAGAATCGAAAATTAACGAATATGAAAATGATTTTGATAATTGTAAAACAATCAATAAAGGATAGTAGTCTACATCTTGTTTAAAAATTTCCAGAGATTCTCTCTAATGTATATCTATGATCTCTTACTCTTTTGTATCCAAGGCTTCCAGTTCACTAAATGAATACAAAGTTATTGATCTTCTATACCTGTTTCTTATTGAGTTTGATCAATAAGTGTATAACAAATCTAAAAATTCATTATTGCTGTTACTTTAGACATTATGCAGTCGATTAGACTACTTGATCTATTGCATAAAAAAGAAAAGGACTTAAGTCCTATAAAATTGGAAGTATTATTAGTTAGTTAACACCCTTGTATAAACAGCATGTATTAAGAAATGGCCTCAAACTAATTCGAATCTGTGATTTAAAAAAAGAATCATTTCCACACCAAATAAATATCTGCAAGAGTTCGTTCTCAGACCGTAAGTTACCGCTCTTAGTATCATCATTGACTGAGTTATCGTAGTAGATAAGTCTAATCACCATCTCAAAATAGCAACTGCAATATTATATAATTCCTTGATCACTCAATGGGTTAATTCATTAGAGTTTTTATTAATTAATTTTCCTTTAATTGCTAATAAACGATCACAATTTTCTTGATTTTCATTGATCTGATAAAGAGATCTAAACAATTTCTCCCTAATTATTGTCTCTCCATATGTTTGTATTCATTTATCAATAGTATCTCCTTAGTGGAAGGCCAGAAATAACTCCTGTTCGCTTTATTATTATCGTTGACTTTATTATCATTATCTCCTTCCTTGATAATTTTAAGAATTAATAATACTATATGTTTAATATCTTCACGTCTTTATTATTTCTGTCACTGCCCTTTTGTTGGAGTTTTGTCCTGATTATGTCGTTCAGAAGGACGATGAAAGCTCCACGACCGAACCATCCAACACAGAGAACAGAACTCCATCTAAATCATCCACCTGAGCTATAAATCTTCTCCACTGCCTTTTTGTGTACTAACTATATACTATTTAATACTATTCAGTAGTTTATATTATACCTCATCATTTTTTAACCGTGGATACTTGCATAATCAATTATCAATATTCGAAATATTTAGTTCATTATCATTCGATATTCTCCTTCAAATCTTATTCATTTCTTTTTAATCATATTACTAATAGATGAATAAATGTATATAATTATATTTAATGATTATCGGAAGGGGGTTTTGTGGAGATTTGAGTGAAGCTAATCCATGTCAGGTAGCGACAGGTATCTACCTCAGTACGATGGAAGTTGGTCGCGCAATTTCGTGGATTGGTTGAAGTTAGACATCAACACCGTTGGATGCCGGCTCAATGGTCTATCGGTTAAGTGCTCTGAGGCGAGACTGGTATGTCCTGAGTTGGAATCTCGCGAGGCGAGGTCGTGGATGCGCACTTCTGAGGAGTCCCACGATAGGACGAAACGGCTGTTCAATGCTTCCAGGTTTTCGATGGTGGTCTGGCTTTAATCGACTCATTATCTCAACTACATAAAAAATATTCAATGATTGTATGAATCAATCTGAGTAGACTAGTCTTATGACGACTATTAATGAATCAAGATTATTAACTTAGAAAATTCTGATGAATGAACATCACTGAACATAATGACTGATCATAAAAATATGCACTCAAATGTAAAATATTTCCCATGGTTAAAATTCCCTTGGAAATTTAATGATTACTAGATAGGATTTTCGATAGTTATTCGTGAATTATTCAAATTAAAATCTGTTTATCATCCTAACGTTTTGTCCACTATCTCATATTGCCTAGGAAATGCTATGGAATCCATGTAGAAAAAATTCAATAACTTGTCAGCGCTTTTGATTTTTCTTCCATTTAAATCCGTATTTTTGAAATTAAGTCGCTTTCTGCGTGTGTAGATAACGGACAATATCATGTTATAAACATTGAGGCTTTTTTCAGTAATCATATACAGCCTATGTAAATGAGTTAATCCCATTACGTTTCTATCACCTATTCTTTATTCTGGATAAAATAAGCTCTTAAAAGTACTGAAGTGCGGTCAGTTGTTACATCGATATTGATTCTGAAAGCTTTTGTAAGTAAAGTAAGCTATTATTTTTATAGAGGATTGATGGACTTATTGCTAGGATATTTTGTGTTGCATTCCTCTGAGGTTATGAAACGAGTAACAAAATTAGAACCAAATTCATTTCTAGACATAGTTTGTTGAACTGGCTGAGAAGTGTGATTTGCTCACTGAATGTTCTACTTCATAATTTGAAAAGTTTACTAAGAGATTTCTAGTAGGTCTGTGGTGAATAAGAACACAACTGGGGAAAATCGAATATATTTCAACACAAAATTACAGAACATCTTGGTAAAATCTAGGAACCATACAGTAAATACTTCATTTGCAAAATGTCAAACAACTGTCTTAAACTTCACTGTTCCTATATCCCCATAGCAATCATACACTGTTCTCGTTCTCTTTTCTTCGATCTTATTAGCCTTCTGCTACCAGGTATTTCACTTTCAATTGATGATACATACAACTTGTATCTGCCGACATCAGTAGCACACACCACAGGTCCGTTGAATGCATCCCTGAATATAACCTAAATCTTTCAACCCTTGTACACTTCCAATTTTTATGTGTATGTTACAGAATTGATTGAGAACATTCTACACACACACACCTTGTAATTGTCATACTTTCGTACTCCGTTCAAGTTTGGTCTGTTTCTAATGTCTGCTAGAAATCAATTCACTCAATATCCCATTTATTTAGTCTTATTACAGTAAGTCGTCTATTGCTATTGAATTAGCGACGATACCAACTTTATTTACATGTTAGATCTACCACAGAAGCTTCCTAAAAAATTGACCGATTTCTACTTTATCAGAGATCCTCTTTTTTTATTTTTTCATAAATTGCTACGGTTACATCACTACCATTGTTAATTATTTATGAGCGAACTTCTGTAAAACATCGAAAAGTTTTAGTTTTCTCTGATTGGAAATATTGATATCAACTTATCAACTGAAAGTAATATTAGTTTACCATAATAAATAATAACTGCCGCTTGTTATTATGGGTAAAATATTATATGAATATTTATTGATTATCGCTTGAGGTATGATTAGTATGGCCAATTGATGACTACTCAGAATAGTTGAATCAACTGACGCAAAGCCCCCATTGAAATGACGTTCAAAAACACAGAACTGGTTAATAAAGCAGGATTCCTTTTATATGAGAAAGTCACATACTTATGTAAAGAAACATTTAGCCTAATAGAAACATTCACAAGTATTTGAAAGAGTTTTGCGGAGACAAGTTTAATTTGTAGGTAATATTCGTCACTGATTGGTCTCATTTGTGGTACTGTAATGAACGAGAACTCAGTTAGGGAAAACTAAGTTATTATTTTTATGCGAAATTACACAGTGCTTTGGTAAAAATATGAAAATACATTATTCGCACATTCTCCTTCAATTGTCCCTTACATACCTCATGATTCTTCAACTTCACTCGTTATTTAAATTGCTCTTTTTCTCTTCAATCTAATCTTATGCTGGCAGGCATTCCATTTCCGATTGCTGCCATATATATATATATGTATATATATGTATATATATATATATATATATATATATATATATATATCAGCATAAGTAGCATGCACCACAGTACCAC